GCTGCTGCTGCTGCTGCTGCTGCTGCAGGAGCGTCAGGTGGCGTACTCGGAGCTGTCTCTGCTTGTCTCCTCTAACTCTTCTCTGTGGGGCCGCAGGTCTCTGCTGGCGGAGCGTCGGGCGCTGTTGCTGCTGCGGCTGCTGCAGGTGAGATGCTGTCTTTGTTTGTCTTTGTCTACATACCAAATAAAGAAATAAATATAAATATAAGTATAAATATAAATATAAATATAAATATAAATATAAATATAAATATAAATATAAATATAAATATAAATATATAAATATAAATATATATATATATATATATTTATAACAGCGAAGGCACTAAACAAACAAAGCAAACAAACAAACAAAAACATTAAACGAACAAATGCATTAAACAAACAAAGACGATAAACAAACATAGACATTAAACAAGCAAATACATTAAACAAACAAAGACATTAAACAAACTAAGACTTTAAACAAATGCCTTTGTCATCAAACAAACAAAGACATTAAACGAACAAAGAAGTTTTTCTGCTTTTTCTGCTGCAGTCGCGCGCTAACTGCCGCGCTGTTCTCACCCAGGAACTGGCTGCATTGAGGGAGCAGCAACAACAACAACAACAGCAGCAGCAGCAACAGCAGCAACAGCAGCAGCAAGAAGAAAAAGGAGAGAAGGTTGCACCTGTCTTGGAGTACCTGACTGACCCCACTACGGTGTACAAGGACAAAGGCTTCTTGGCGAGCATCGGGGTAGGTTGCTGCTGCTGCTGCTGCTGCTGCTGCTGCTGCTCGTTGTGCTGCTAGAGCAGCCCGAGCGTAGTGTATGTCTTGAAGCTGCTGATCTAACAGCACCTAGCAACGCTTGCATTTTGCTGCTGCTGTTGCTGCTGGTTCTCGACGCGGCGCAGCAACAGCAGCAACAGCAACAGCACCAGCAGCAGCACCTCCAGCATCCGCAGCAACAATCGTAGCAGCAGCAAACTCAACTGCACGGGCAAAAACAGCACCAAAAGCAGCAGCAGCAGCAGCATCCGCAGCAACGTAAACACCAGCAGCAAAAGCAACAGCAGCAAAGGCAACAGCAGCAACAGCAGCAACAGCAGCAGCAACATCAGCAGCACCAGCAGCTGCAACAGCAGCAGCAACACCAGCAGCAGCAGCAACAGCAGCAGCAGCAAGGTGTGAATATCTATCAAGCATTAAGATGTTTGTGTGTCTTGTAAAGGCATTACCTGGGCGTCTATGGGACGGGGAGGTTGGCGACTTAAAGGCAAAGGCGCTGCTGCTGCTGCTCCGATCAGCAACACCAGAAGAAGCTGCTGGTAAGTGCCCCTCTGCATGCATGCATGCATGCATGCATGCATTCACCTATGAATGCATCCATGCACATATGCACCTCTGCATGCATGCACTCACCTCTGCATGCATGCATTCACCTCTGCATGCATGCATTCACCTATGCATGCATGCATTCACCTATGCATACATGCATGCATATACTTATGTATGCATGCACCTGTGCGTATGCATGCATGCATGCATTCATATACTTCTGTATGCATGCGCCTGTGCGTATGCATGCATCCATGCATGCATGCATGCATCGTTTTCTGTCTGTTGGGTGTATTTGTGTACGCTTCTTTAGCGTGTTAATTGCAGCTTATCTCTGTTTTATCTCCGCGCATGCAGAGCTCAAGTCCTTCCTGGTGTCTCGCGGGGGCCCCCCTGGGGGGCCCCCCATGGGGGCCCCCCCTTATGGGGGCCCCCGCATTACCCCGCCTTTAAAGGTGAAGGAGAGACTGCAAGCAGCTGTCTCCTCAGCAGGAATTCTTCTTGGGGCTGTTGCATGCAGCGTCTTGTGGCGAATGGAGACAGCAGAAGCCTCTGTTGCGCTGCTTCCTCAAGTCCGTCTAAACCCTAAACCCTAAACCCTAAACCCTAAACCCTAGATGAGGAGCTTCTTTGAGGCAATGACTGTAGTTTTGCATACAGCAACGCACCCGTAGTAGAGAAAACGTCGGCATAAAGGCCTCCACCATTAGAGTATAGAGGTTAGGGTTTAGGGGTTTGGATTGAGGGTTTAGGGTTTAGGGTTTAGGGTTTATGCAGGTTGGGCTGACGGCGTTGAGGGGCTTGAGGGGCCTTTGCATATTGCAAGCAGTTTATTATGGAGAGGAGCGACTAATAGAAACCCCGCAGTACTGGGGAGACAGCACTTTTCAGGTATAAGTGTCTCTCTCTTTTACCGTCTCTCTTTGTCTTGGCTGTCTCCCTCTCTCCTTCTCTCTCTCAGTTCCTACGCTTAGT